TACTACTACATTTAAATGTGATAATATATATATATATTCATTAAACAACTCTCAATGCATTTTCACTGTACTGAGACCAGACCTTCATGTTTAAACAGAGAACCACTCATAGAGAAAATATTATACTATATCCATATATATTGAACCTTAATATAAATGCTACGGTATTTGAAGCTTGCATTATTCTTAGATGTCGGTCTGTCGCCAGTGGCCAGTCGCCAGTGTTTCACAGAGGAATCCTGTGCAGACTGATCCTCTGACACTCAGTCTCCCATAGGGTGGCACTGCCCTGTGGAGCAAAGACATCACTGATGAAGTTCCTGGCGTTCAGAATGTGCGACGCCAAGGCTGTGCTGCTTAAGCATCTCACCATCTTCCTCCTCGTCTTTTGAGAACACCACGCCATTGTCCTCCTGGCCCCAGCGCAGGCTGGTGTTACCCAGCTCGGTGTGCCTGGACAGCTCTCTTGTCACCTGCGGAGGGGACAGTACCACAGCAGCCCTGGTCAGAAATCAGGGCCCGGTACGTCTTCCTGAACGAGAGCCGCGGTCGTGTCGCGGCAGGGAGGACACGATCGCCGGGCGAAACAGGGAAACAGCAGCAGACAGCGCCTGTGGTGGGTGATAGTGGTCTGTAGTGAGAGGTGGCAGCTGGAGTGAGCGCTCTGGAAAACGTGGGACGTAGTGGGATTCAAAGTCGCAGAACGAAGCAGGGAGGCAGCCAGATAGGTGACGTCGAAAGCAAGCAAAGCCCGGAGCCGATAGATACCCAAGCAAAGCAGCTAAGAGACGAGGTCGAGGCGAGAAATCTTCGACGCCAAGGAGCAAACACAAGGGCAATCCAAGAGCAAGGTCGAGGGAAACGGGGTCAAAGAATCAAGGAAAACTTGACTAAGGAACACCAAGCCTCAAGCCTGAACTCCCTAACACTGAGCGAGTGGGGGGCTGACTGTGAGCAGGTGGAACTGATCTTCCACCCGATTGCACTGTCACGGCAACCAGGTGACTGACAGGTGGCCACATCGGTTGCTGTGGTTACTCGGAAGGGTCTTCGAGCAATCCAACGTGAGCAGGCATGATAAAATAAACAAAGCCAGCAAGGGAAAGGTCAGCGCTTCGATATAACTGCAACTATGATCTCCAGTATTCTCTCTCTTATATTCTAGTTTAAAGCCCTTATTAACTCTATAACTCTACCCTGCACTTTTGGGCCTATTCATATGCTCCCTTAATTCAAA